TGCCTGAAGCTCCCACTGAAAGATCTCAGCTCCTGTGGACTCACCACCTGCAGGAGGATCAGTGAGGGGCTGGTGCTCTGTGACTGGGTGCAGCTCTGACTGCCACCCCCCCGACCCAGAAATGGATTAAGGGGAAGAAAATGGATGGATGGAAGGACAATAACTTAAACAGACATGGAATGACAATAACGGAACAGGAAGTGAAGGAACCATGGGGCTTAAATACAAGACTAACGAGACGCAGGTGATACACATGAGGGCGGGGCAGGTAATCAGGAAACAGGAAGTACAACTACATTAGACACAGGTGTTAACAAATTACAAAATAAAACAGGAAATAAACCTAAACCGTGACACTTTCAACTTTTCCCAAGAGATGGAACTGTTTAATTTCTGATATCCTGAAATCTATTTTTACATATTTATCCATACATATTCTACCTAAGAACTTACAGTATGTCACATATTAAAACACTAAATACATGTGTTATGCTAAATATTTCTTACGGCACATATACAGTTAGTTTTATCCATTCAAAGAGACACCCATTTATTGTTTGCAGTCGACTTTTCAGATTTAGACTTCTGCAACTTGTTTCCGATTTGCAATTTCACACCCGTTTATCTCGCCCTTTGTCGCTTATTTATCAGATTCTCTTTTCAGATATTCTCAGTTTATCCAGGCTTGGGACAGACCACAAAGTGTGCATCGGTCCTTTGCTGGATTAACCTGCAATCCAGCAAAGCCTTACAAACAAGCTCAAACGGCCTCAGTTCTGTGAAGTTGCCGCACGCTTTGACACAGTTGAAAGCGGAGGATTTCGTTGTGCCACTCTCGCCTGCAACGTGTAAATAGCATTTCTTTTTCTTGCCGAGAAGTTGTGCAAAAATCAATGTGGTAGCTTTAGTTATTAGAGTCGGTTTTAGGCGCGTTGTAAGCTGTGAGGGGAGATGGAGACGTCGGGCGGGTTTGGATGGGCTCTCCTGTTCTGCCTGTCTCTACCATCACATCGCAGTGCCCAGTAATGAGTTGTATTACATGCTCTGTGGTGGGCATGTCTGCTGTTGGCTCCGCACTCAATCTGCAGCGCGGTCTTTGTGTTGTCTTCGAGAGGCGCCCGGGTGAGACGGAGAGGGGGGGAGGGGGGCGGTGGGGGGAGAGAGATGGAGGATGTGTGTATGTGAGCGGAGGAAATATGTCAAAGTGCTCTCTGAAGCTTTACATTGTACAGTACACTGGGGCCCGCTTTAGCTTCTTCCCAAAAGTTGCTTCTCGGGATGTCGCTGTTTTCGTTTTTTTTTTGGGAGTTTTTAGAGAACAGAGAGTGATCAGAAAGATTACTTACGTTCATACCAAAAACATTAATATGCCTAGTTATGGCTCTGCTACCCTCGTCACCAACATTACGACCACCCCCTCTATAACCACCCCCTCTATAATCCCCCCTCCCTTGGATTATAGCACCTCAACTCGTTCTATGTTTTTACTATTATTATTATTAGTATTACTATTATTATTAGTCTCTCTCTTTTCTTTCTCCCCTCTCTCACTACCGGTCAATAAAAGAAAATCTTCAACACCCTCCGATACCTATTCAATACACCAAAAGTGAACACGCACATACACACACACACACACGCTCGCGCACGCTGAATCCCCCCCCCCTGTCCCCCCTCCTGACCCTATGTAAATGCTTATATGTTTATGTAGGTTCATGTACAAATGGGTCTATAATGTCTGTGCTGTAATATATTGTATACGCCAATAAAAAAAAAAAAAAAGAGAACAGAGAGTGAAAAAACACAAAATGATTTAACTATGCACAAATATTGACCCCTAAAAGTTGGTTCTAATTAACTTAAACCACAGGAAAATTAGCTACGTAAAAAAAAAAAAAAAAAACAACATTTAGCTTGTTACTTGCTAAACATCTGTATAGAGAGATAGATGTTTTATTGATCCCTGAAGGAGAAATTCAAGTGTCCAGCAGCAGAAAACACATCCATGTAAACACATAAATACATCAATTATAACATTTCTAACCAACCAGCTAACAATAGTGCACATTTTGTCACTCAGACAGGTCTGTTGTACAGTCTGACACCCGAATGAACAAAGGATCTCTTAAAACAACGTCTAATATTTACAGACAGAAACATTTAAAATACATCTCTCACCCCAAAACATCAAATAGTGACTCACAGGGCTCTTCGACATGAGAGAGGAACACACTTTTCTGTCTGAATATGTTGATCTAAAGGTGCGACAAAGGCCATACAGGCATATACAACACAACCACACACACACACTAATTTACTTATTTGACTGTTTGCCCAGAATATCATATAATATTACATAAATGAACCTCATTCATCACTCCAGCTCGTACTGCGGCCTCTCATAAGGACCAGTGCAATGAACTAAGTGCCTCTATATGCTCCTTTAACAGGGATCACCTCCTGTTCCTACCATTTTCCCATTTGCACTTAAAACATACTCTGTAATCTTCTGTTATTTTACATACAAATTGCATCCTGGCCGACGCATTCATCATTGCTCATATCCAGCCCACTTTTAAATGAAAAATGTATCGCGGTTGAATAATGGATCCAGCTATATAGAATAATTTTGTGTTACTTGAATATAGTGGAGAGTTTTCTCGTTTTAAATGTACCCGCACACACCCTCCCTCCGCTCGGGAGAAGTTTTAGAAAGAAGAGGATGAAGAAAAATGACTTATTGTTTACCTGGGGTTTGTACAAAATGAAGCATCGCCGTGGATAATGGAGCAGAGACTTTGAGACAAACTGCATTAAACAGACACTCAATTTGCCAAAAAGTGGGGATTTCGTGGCTTCAATATTTAGTGAGGATTTGATGTGATGTGATAAGAATCAGAGGAGATTATTTGTTTTGGAGTCTAGCCAAATAAATAAATAAGAAGTACCAGGTGTGGATCTAAGAATAGACTTGTTGTGTTCAGCGGACTGAAGTTGAATAGATGTAATAATTTAATGTCTATGGACTGGTAATACATTATAACTTATGGATTTGGTCTTAAAATATGATCTTGTTTTAGATTCTCTGTTGGTCTCGCCATTTCATCCAGTCCTGGTTCAGGATTGGTCAAGCTTAATTTCAGTTTTTACGCTGGTTTTAACATTCTTCTTTCTTTCTTTGTTAAAATGTGCATTATCTATAGGACAAAGGATATCACAGTTAAACCATTTCTTTGTTGTTGTCTGACTTTCAGATAGCGTTTTTCACCACGTTGCTGGTAATGAAGCTCAATTATATATAATAACTGAGATTTTTTTCTTTGTTTACATTGGGGTTGGTATGGTAACTTCCTCTACCCATGTCTAACCAGGAAGTAACATTATCAACGGGAAAACTAAGCAAAATTTTTGACTCAAATCTTATGCATGGGACTCTGAGGTATGATGTATTCTGTGATATAGGGTGAAAAAACGAATAATGAAAAAAAACCACACATTTTGATAGCAATCATCAGACAACAATGTTTTAATATATGAAAAATCTGCGAAAACATGCATCTACATGTATTGTTTGATGAGGTGAGATTCAAGTTTGACGTTAAATGAACCGCTAAAGAGCAGGACATTTATGGAAATAGTTGGAATTCGGTTATATCTGAATTTCTTTATGTTTAATCTGGTGGTTTTCTGTCTTTTCTGTTCATATATTTAACCTTAAACAATTTTCAAAACAACATCTAGGACTAGGACAAGGACAAACTCATTACTATACCATTTATATATCCTTTATCCCACCTCTGCTATGACATTATAAAGCCACAGTATTGAGCTTTCTGGCGGTACTAACAGAGCCTCTTTTTTATCACTGAGTTTATGGGAAAACATCTAAGTAGCAGAAGGCACATTATTGATTTGAGTCCAAACAACTCCATCATAGCATCACAATTATCATATGTGGAAAATTCGTATGAAATTGTTCTATTCCAACCCACTACCAATAGATTCGATATTGTTAGATGTATACAATTTTGGATTTTGGTATGAATCAGGACTAAAGTGGCAAAGAGCTTCTCCTTTAAATGATCTTAAGAAATTGAGCCAATATAATGGTGAGCTAGCCATAGATGGGGTACAGTCAGATGCTCATGAAACAGTTTTGTTTGATTTGCTATTTCTGAATCCTTGACCTGGTTAGCTACTGCTCTCTCTCTTGCTCCAGGTCGCAAACCCCTGGATGGAGTAAAAGATCGAAGTTATGTTATTGATTGGTCGGGATAAATATGAATCCCATTTTAGGATGTGAAGGGTTAGGGTTTTGGCTATTGACAATCATAATGAAACGCTGTCAATTCAAGTTTTAGAATGGGAAATAATATCTTAAGTTGAATTTATATATGGTGTAACAAGTATCATGGGTCAATAATCAGCCTAACCTTATCCTATGCTGTCACCAGAAGGAGGTGCAGATTTTTCCACCAATTGTTTTAATAACTGGTTGGAATCTTGACATTGCAAAGAATGTTATTTCCCTAAATTATGGGCTGTAAACAAGGTGGCTAGTGTGCACAATGTGAATTAAAGTTTTGTCTACCTTAAAACTGAAATAATACCAGATGTCATGCTATTTTTTCATATCTATATTCCTCATTGGAATCCGAAAAATTGTTCGACTAATACATATTTTAGTTGACTTGGATTCCAACGACCGTTTATTAGACTACCATAACTCCCAGCCTTAGAGAAGAGTGTGATTTGCTTGAAGATCTCTGACTGTGTCACGGTGGACTAACTTCAGGGCATAAAACATTATTACCCGCCATTCAACGCTCGTAAGTGCGTCTTAAATGTTTAGCATGTGGAACATTGGCTGCGCGTACAGGTGCCGCGGAGATCCTGCCATGTACACTTTCTCTTGGGGCTTCCACAGCTGGCCAGCCATGTGTTAAGTCTGGAGAATTGAGGTTGAGAACGCTGCCCCTTCTGTCTTCATCTGTAATTACATGCTGAGACTTTTGGGCAGAACCGCTCCAGCCTTCAAATACCTCAGCGGCTTTGGGTTTTTCGAACCGCGCGTGATCCTCTCGTGGGACATCCCGGTGAGTGTGTTCCCTTCCCTCCACGGCCCGCCACCCACACCCACCCCCGCAGCTACATCCCCGCGGGCCTCACTTTGGGGATGTTGGGGAGCGGACCACTCTGTCGTGCTCTACTTGCTCCTGTCGCTTGCCTGTCGTCCCCCAAAGTTTTTTCCTCTTTTTTTCCATCTCTTCCACCGGGAGACGTCCTGACACCGCGCCGCAGATGGGGGGCAGCAGACCGGAGCGCCTGGTGTCACGGCGTGGATGGGAATTCACAGTTGGGATGAAATATGAAAGTGAAATGTCGTTATACATATGTTTGCTGCGGTGTGCTCACGCAGATGCTTTTCTGTGCAGACCACATGGATATTATTTGTTCTGTCACACGCATTACAGCAGATTTAAGAGCTCAGTTTGGGTTGGGTGCGGCTATAAGCGCATTGTGAATTTGGCAATGGGTTTTAAAGCTCTGCACTGAGGCGAAAAACAAAGGCAAATATTTTGTGGCTATTTTCATAATCCGAGACTATTAATAATGCAAAATGTTGTACTAAGATGCGGTTTAAAATGTTGTCTTGGAATCTTATGGGTCTAACATTTAGTGACTTATATTACAGTGGTCCCTCGTTTAACGCTGGGGTTACTTTCTAAAAATAACCCACAATAAGCAAACTCCGTAAAATAGTCTGCTTAGTGTAAGTTTTAAGAATGTAAAACCCTGTAATGTACAGTTAATATTCATACACTTAATCATGATCACAGAGACATGAAAGCTGTTCGTTGCTGGTCCGAGAGCTACTGTAGCTGAAAAAAGCTGTGCATACACTGTAAAATACAGGACTTATCTCCACGCTGCACACAAGCCACAAAGGTTTTCTTCCAACTTTAAACAAAAAAGTAACGCAAAAGTCTTGCGCAGTGTTAAAAGCTAAAAATTGCAAAAAAAATAAAGCGAAGCAGCAAAGTGCATCCCGTTATTGCGAGTGGTCACTGTATCCGCTTTAACTTCACCCAACTTTTTCAGTGTATAGAAACTGAACGCCAAGGGTTAATTAACCCACATTCATTTTGATCCCAAATTCATCGGCCAGGGGTTTTGTCTAATGAAGTGAATGTATGTGTGATGAAAAGCAAAAAACACCATGGAAGTATGTTCTGGATCATGTATTTTTTCATTACGCTTAGGAACAACTATTATGTCCTCAATACTATCGAGAGTTTAACTGACCGACGCAGGGGGTAATGTCACTTACTTTCTTAGTGATAGTCGTTTAAAGCGGGGTTACTTTTAAACAACTACTTCCTAAATCTCAATACACCTTGGTGCTATGGGTGTGACGATATATCGCAATATATCGTCACACCCCCACGATTCGATTATCGATATGCATTTGCCAAGTATCAATATTGATTTTGAAAAAAAAAATATATATATATTTTTTCCAAATTTTGTATATTTTTTTCAATCAGTATCAATACTTAATATATGGCTACATTACACATCTCCATTCCATTTATCATGAAATTAAGTGTATTTTTTCACTTAACATTTTTATTTTATTTATGCCGTAAATTGGCATTTGGTATATTTCTGACCAATATATCGATAATCGTCGTATCGTGGTAAAATTGTTATCGTGATATTATCATTATCGTGAGCTTTGTATAGTGTATCGTATCGTATCGTGAGGTTCCCACCCCTTCTTGGTGCTATGTCTAGTTTAGATCATCTTACTTAGACAAGATGTAATGTAGCTTGAGTCCTGGATCTATAGCCAGTCCATCCGTGTGGAGCGGATACCTCTCTGAATGTGGACCTCCTCACTTTTCTCCCACTCAACATTCTACAACACTCACATGTCAACTCCCCTATGGACCAAAACCATGTGTTCTATATGTTTTGTGTTTGAACAGTTTGATTCTCTGATCTGTGTTGGCGATTTCAATGGTTTTGTTAAGTCTTCTGAGATTGCTGTTGTGATTTAGGGCTATACAATAATAAATGTAATTTTATTGAGACAGAAAAATGAAAAAGAGGGGACCACTCTTGCTGCGAGTGTCAAATAGTGACTCACAGGGCTTTTCCTTACAGTCTGCAAAATACGTTTTATAATAAGGTAAAGACTGAAAGTTGTGGTCTTTGCTCATGAAATGTTACATTGTGGAGAAAAACGTTTTAGAATAGTCCAGTAGAGGACCCTTATCTCATAACCGCAACACAACCATTTCAACAAGTATCTCAGAGTTTGTTTGCTGCGGTCTCTAGTACACATATTTTCATTGTTACATCACAATACAACCTCTTTCCGCCGTCTCTTTCTCTATTTCTGTGCCTACATCATTTGTAAGCCCGGTGTTGTCCGTATTTGAATGTCAGCGCTGTTGTTTTGATGATGTGAGCCAACACTATCAAAGCTGTGCACGCTGCAAACTGTACTTCAATACAAATGAAAAAGCCAAATTATTCCTAGTCCTTTGATTCCTTTGCAAGTTTAATCTGTGGCGATCGATAAAAGGATGCGTGTTGGTCTAGGGAGTCAACAGCAGCCGGTTTGATGGGTAAACCGACAGCCAAATGGATGGTGTGGAGGAGCATTCATCTTTCTTTAGGCAAATTGGGCCGCTAGATCCCAACTAATTGATTGATTGCGTGACTTGCTGATACAATCAAAGCCTGGCCTGATTTATGGCGATAAATCAATTGATGAATACGGTTTTGTGCAGGGACCGGAGGAGGGGACAGGCCAGGTCGTACATCCGTCTTGTGCCGTCAGGGCTGTGGGGAGAACGCGGTAATAAGAGCTGTGTCTGCGGCTGACATTTACTGAGAGCCCGCTCCGACCTGCTCCAGATTAACCTCCACTTGTTCTCATAAGCACCACTGATATTAAAAGATGGGCCACGGCACTCAGCGAAAAATGAAGTGTGACTTTTTTCCCCGCTCCGTTTGCATACATCATTAGGCCAACAACAAAAATCAATGCGCATTCCAGAATCAACACAAACACATCTTGAGGTGCGTAATGCACAAGGCTGTTGTTGACTTGCTCCAGATTACATTTAACCCAATGTTTAAAGGCTGATTTACAGAAGATGGAGTCCACACGGCGCGGAGCTGTCTACTCTGCTCAGAATATGAGATGGAAGTTAAACAGTGCGCGCGGTAGAGGAGCCCTGATGTGTGGGCAGTGTAGCATCAAATAGATTGTGTTTCCTCGCGTGTAAACGTCTAATGTGTACGCTCTTGACACAGATGAATGTAAGGAATTTGCTGTAAAGACTTTACGGCCCTTTTGAGAGACATGGCTGTGGAGCAGCAGAGTGGAACGGTGCAGGCTCAGATTGTACCCACACAGAAGCACAGACACAGACTGAAGCAGGGCTACACAAGTGCTTACACATGCACACATGTCAAGGGCCGCCTCAGAGGAGAGCTACATCAAGTGTAAGGCCGGCCTGGACGTCTGGGACCGCTTTTATTTGCTTTGGGTCAGAGATGGCCATGCTGACGATGTGATGAGAATCACCTCAGAGCTGAAGTAATCCTGCTGCTGCCCCAGCCTTTTCTTTAAAATACGAGGGGCCTGCTGTGCCACAACAAGGCGAATTATAGAATGATTCATGTTTAAACTGGCCTTTCAAGTGCATCTCCTCCTGCTCCTGCTCCGAAGCCTTTGTGAAGAGCTCAAAGTCTCTGCTTGTTGTCAGCATCATTTATTCCCACTCTCACCGCTCTATTTAGATTCATTTATTTTTGGTTCAAATGCTGTAAAATGGAAGTGCGATACAAAGGAGGAGGTAGCTCTCAGACAGGTGGCCCTGGCTTGTGTCGCAGGCCCCTGGGGCCCCTCTTACACAGTCTGAGTGAGAGGAGGGACCTACACAGGTGGTGTGAAGCGCAGCATCTCTGCACACCTGAAATATTCAGATTGTTCCAGCGGCGCGGCTTTGATCTCGCTGAATCGACATGGGAGCAAGCGAGCGAGTGAGCGAGGGGAGAAAACAACAAAACAAGAGGAAGAGCTCACCTGAGAGCCGGCACATTGACATTTCTTTAGAGAGAATAAACAGCACAGGTTAGCATCAGCTTCAGCAGCTGTGTAAAAGTGGGCCAGCACTGCTCTGCTCTGAACACGCACTGACCTCAATGGTGCTTTTCTCAGTGCATTATTATTTACCACATTCTAACAAACACTGTCCCCATGTAGACTCAGTCCTCAGTTGAGGAACTGGGCTGACTTAAAGTGACAATACTGCAATTCTCTCTATTAGATCCAGCCCTTGTTCAGAGCTGAGTAGTGACCATTCAAAGAGATGGAGCTCTTGAGTCTGGACCTCCCCTCGTTCCTCTTAAGCTGCTCTTAGAGGTGATGGCGTCTGAGCAGGTTTCAACCCACCAGCCTGCTAATGAATCATAGGACTGTGCAATTAGTCAGCCCGCCTGTAGCCCACAGTGACAATAGACACACTGATTGTAACCACAGAGTTTGAAAGGAGCAGAACAATGGTCGGCCCTAATGATGATTAATAAGATGTTGTAATTGGCCTTGGTTGGGAGCATTCAGTCACACACATGCAATTTGAAGTTTCTAATTGGAGGACATTTAAAGTTATTCATTGGATTCCGAGCTTTAGTGTGCGTTTAGCAGATGTTTTTATAATGCTACTTTCAATTGAGCATTACCCGATTCTAGTCTTTGATTTTTAAAAATGGTCAGGATATTGTACCATTTTGTGATTGGAGACAAACAGACTATTCTCCTGTTTGAAGTGCAATTATCCGTAATGGAGGGGGTCCTCAGTGTCCAGAATTTTTGAGAACCTTTGAAGAGAACCTTTTGAGAACCTTTGAAAGATCTGTGATTCATCCCACATTGGGGAAATTTCAGTGTTGCATCACCGGTTACAGAACAGTAGGAATGAGGGCAATGAGAGATGCCACCCAATGCTCAAAGCACCGGTCCCTCACTGATCCTCTGCAGGTGGTGAGTCCACAGGAAGATGGCTGCTCTGTCAGTGGTGAAACAGCCTTGGTCTTTCAGCGGTGAAACAGCCTTGGTCAGCGTGGGGTTCAGTGTCTTGCCCAAGGACACAACGACAGTAGACATTTGTGGGAGCAGTTGGAGTAGGTCCCATCGTGGTCTCAAACCCACGACCTCCAGGCCCAAAGGCCAATGCCCCAACCGATCCACTGTCGCCCAACTTTAGCAAACAAATATAACTGTTGTAACTGAAAGCGTTCTGTAGTTTATGCTTTTGGTCTTCATTGCAAAAGACCTTTTCTCTTTCAAACCAAAATAGAAAAGTCCGTTGTATTAGCTATTTGTGTGGACGTGTTAGCAGATTAACAGCATGAAATGAAAGTAATGTGTAAAAGAGAATTAAAGAAGGGTTGTTGACAAGGAGGCTGCGCTCCCATGCATCAAGCAGCAAAAACCTCAGACTGAAGTGAGGACTATGACGAATAATGGCTGACAACAGCAGTCACACCTTCTGCTGATGCTGAAGCTCGCTCCGTCTTCTTCTGTGTAAGATTTAGCATGCCGTTTGAAGGCAGCCTGACTGACTGGGGATTAATTGTTTTGGATGATTTATCAGACTTACGCCGACCAGAGTTTAGAAAGGTGTCAACGTGAGATGTGATTTTCCTGGTATGGTTTAAACCCTCAAAGATCTGTGTGTGCCACCTACTGTGTGTGGATATGAGCTGTGAGAGGGAGACGGGCTGGACAGAACAGGAAAGGATATGAATGGGCAACAATTTATCAACAATTTTAAATAAAGTACTTGGGTGGGAGATGTATTTGTCAAGCACTTTTCATAAAAAAAGTAGCACAAAGTTCTTCATAGTTCATAAAATTCTTGACCAAAACACATCCACCCAAAGAAACTGCAGATAACTTGTTTAAAAAGTTACAATAGACTGAATTAGAAGTTAAAGCTGGGCTATCAAACATTCAAAACACCATGGACGTGCCATAAATTCCAACTAACTAGCTCCTAACTCTCAAAACAATTTCACATGTTTTTTTGGTTCTATCAGCTTTTTCAGACAAAGAGAGGACCGCTTTTGATCAACCAATCGGCCGTCAGCTCAAAGCAAATGATCTATTAGTGACTCACTGAGCTCTTTCTTGCAAATAATAAAATGTCTTTCTATTCGATCAGATGTATTCGTTCAGACTTCACTTAGACCTTGAACCTGATTGAGAAGGAATAGTAGCTCACTGAGAAAAAAGAATTCCGGTGCATTTTTCAAGTTTCAAATACTGGCATATAGCTCAGTGAACTGCATGCATTCAATGATGGGTCAATGCAGAATAAAAACTTCAAACTACTGACATGATCTTAACGTCTGTTGGCTCAATCTTTTTAACCAACAAAAATGCTTAACGGTAAGAGTAACTTTACCTTCTTTTAGGTTAATATACTTTAAAGTGGGACTATACCAGTGAAAACCTGCTTTAGAAATGGTCAAGTCAAATTTCCATCTGTAGTCCCACAGTCACAAACAGACACTCATTGGAAGGCCATTTGTTATTATTTTTAGACACAGTGCAGTTAGAAGACACAAAGTCCAGGTAAAACAGTTTCTTAGGTGGTTCTTTGATATAAAACTACAACTGCTACTTGCGCCGTGTCTGTTTAAAGTGGTTCTCACCCCCGCTCCTCGGAGCTTACGTCACTCACATTTCCTGTTCAAATCTTCCTCTAAATGGGCGTGGCCTGGAGGACTAAAGGGGGCGTGAACGAGACTGGGCCGTTTACATTGCTCTGGGCGGGGGGCTGCTGACGTCAGGTCCAACTTGCAGACGTCAGGTCCAACTTCTGTGCCAGTGTTGGCGCCAGATTCAAAATTCAAATGTAGTAATACAGGTCGCCAGCAGATGGCGCCTCACAGACGGTTTTAGGCAGAAAGTTTAACTTTCAACTAATTTGCACCAAAGTGACAAGATTATGACCAGGATATGTAGACAACACTATTGGACACTCATTTATACCGTTTATCAGCAAAAAAAAGTGGATTTGAGGGTGAGTTGTCCTTTAAAGTAGCATAGCTGTGAATTAGGTCAGTGTTATTGTCTCCTTCTCAGAGCGAAAGTGATGGAGGGCCTGTCTGCACTGAGCATATGGAGGAGATGCAGGTGACGCGGCCCCCGGAGCGTCTCTGTCAGGGACCGCGGGGGTCACCCAGGTCACGCGCTCCTCCCGCCGGGGCCCCTGCTCTGTCTGGACGTCCCGCGCCCGCCCGCCTGATAACACTTTGAGACGCTTCCTATGGACCCCAGCCAAACTGCAGCAGCGGGCGGGGGGAGGGGGTAGCTTCTGCTGCTAACAATGTGCATAGGCCAGACCAGACTGCAGCGATTGGGCGCATTGATCGCACAGATTTGATTTATTGATCAGCAGCACCCCCCCTTTTTCTTCCATCCGCCTCCCCCCTCGACTCCCCCACAAAGTCTGGAATGCGCGGCTAATCTGCGGCGACTATACATGGCGCCGAAAATGGCAGGCGATAAGGATGGAGCTATACACTTATCTTAATCACACACGTGCACTGCGGCCTGGACGTGTGCGCGCTGCTGTCCCAAGTGCATGTGTGTGTGTGTGCGTGCGTGAAGTGGGGTGCACGCGCGGCTGCTCCTTTGTGCCTAGCATGCGGTGGGGGTGTAGGCAGTACAGTCGCCAGGCAGAACAGAGTGGATCTATAAATTGATGGAATTCAAAGCCTCCAGCATCGATTACCATTATAACAAACAGCGGCTCACAGAATGTCTGATTATTTTTAGACAAAGATTGTGTGCTCTCAGCAGCTATTCTTGCTGATGCTGTCACACTCTCAGACATCTGCCTATGATTGCAATTAGATGGTTACAAAAAGAAAAATAATACCCCATCTGCATTTTCCCCTCTTTCTCCACCTCCTATTTTTCGCTCTTTAATTTGTGCTGTCCAAGCCCGCTGCACACAATAGTCATTTGGGCTCTACCTCTTTGCAGCAGTACCTAGTGAGTTTTCTTTTGCTTTTTTTTCCACTTGTCAACATTTTCCTCTATGGGTAGTCTTTGTGAGAGGCCAGAAAATAGCTTACCACTACAGATGTAATCAAGACGAGCTCGGTTTAATGAATCAATGTCAAATGTAGTCGGCACAATGCATTAGCGAGTCCCACATTTCACTAAAATACTCACACAAGCAGCGCCACTTAAGTCCCCACTGTGGTCTGCAGTTATTGCTAAGACAATGGGATGTACTGTTGAACCTGCAGTTGGAGGACACAAAGAGCTGCTTACCATGTAGGTTAATGCATGTAGTTAATTTGAAAAGCAGGGACAACAAGGTTATAGTTACAATATAACCATCAATTATTCTAATTAGCAGACACTAATTAGTAAGTACATGTTATGGCTGCACAGAGTCGTATTCACATAAACCATTACTCCATGTGTGGTGTAGTCATGATATATTCAAACTTTAATTTAACCAAAGTAACAGAATTGGTACATGAGCTGAATATAGGTCACCTTCTATACAGGGATCTGGCTTCCCACAGGCATTTACCTTCATTTTTCTTCCATATTTTTCTTTTGTTTATTGATTTTAGTCGTTTTATCTCCTATGAAGTTTCGGGGCTGCACATTTTTGTCGGTTTCACATCACATTTCTGGATAAACTGATGCCTAAAGAGAAGTAACCTTTCTGGTGGAGAGTTTTCCACAAGTTCAAGCTCACGTCCAAACACTATTTTATTTTATTTTACAAAACTAGGGCTCCAACTTTACAACTTACTATTACTTTGATAATAGATCATTTAGCAATTATTCCTTTGATTCGTTGATTATCTGTTCAGAACACAGATATGTGATTTCTTAAATCTAAATTGGAAGCAGAAAAGGTGGTTGAGGTTCAAGTGTATGCAGCTCTTCTTTTTTGTTTATTTGTAAATGGTCAATTGCACCTAATTGATTATTGAAAAAGTTGTCTAATGTCTAATGAATTGAGCTATATAGTTATACATATATAGCTGTTATATATATATTATTATTATTATTATTATTTGAACCTTACATAGACTCATGCTGAGAAGAAGGTTCATCTCGTCTTAATATATTATTTTGGTTCTTCTGGGGCATCACTTTTGTCGTATGTAAATGTATTTTTAAAAAGTCAATCAAAATAATCATTAATTACAGCCATTAGTCATACTACGATGGTTTGTGGTTTGGGTGACACGGTGGCACTTGTCTTGAGTTCGATTCCACCTCCTGAGTGTGTGGAGTTTGCATGTTCTTCGCATGTGTGTGCAGGTTTCCCCCGGGTGCTCCGGTTTCCATCACCACTGAACATATAGAGAAAATGGAAAAAACAATTGATACTCCAAAAATATTGTTTCCTTGGTCTGTGAAATGTAAATATGAATAAAAATTACTTGAACTTACTTGTTGCTTAAAAAAATATCTTTGGTATTTTTGCAATTAATACAAACAAAATCTATCCCTCCATCACTTGAACTGCCCATGTCTACAGCTCCAGGTTCAACCCCCCTCTCGGCCCCCCACGGCCCCCGCCACAGGGCCGCCCCTTGGGGAAACTCATCAATTATAACTGTGGCTCTTTGACTGGCAGAAGCTTAATGACAGGAGCTGCTATTGACCTGACTGCCACACTGAACACCGCTCCCAGTCGCAGCCATGTTTAAATCCCGTCAAACGATTCCTCACTGAGTCCTGGGCCCACAGAGAGATTTGAGGCCCATTGTGATCCGCGTTTAGAGGGATCACTTAATGTTCACATGCAAATGATTTTCTCAAGTAAAAGAGCTGCACATAATGGAGCTGAGTGGCTTTACCCAGCATGGCCTTGGCTGCACGGGCTATTAAAGGACTGCACTTCATATTGAGGAAGTACTGTTTTGGAGACAGTAAATAAGTATTATGATGAAGACTGAATGCAGCGGTTCCTCACTATAACGAGGTGCAGCTTTCGGGGCCTTGCTATTTCGCAATTTTGTGTACTTTTTTACAGTGTGCTCCTTATGCGCTACAACATCAGAAGAAAACGTTTGTAGCTCGTGTGCACAGCAGTGATGAGTGGACGAGACAAAACTTAAAATTGCTGTACCTGACTTTGTTCACAAGGTTTTGTTTTTACTCGACTATTTATGTTGTGACAAATCAGACCACAACCTGCTGCATCTTAACAAAACACGTTATCTTTTGCACAGGCAACGCAAGTTTAATTCATACACAAGGCAACTCAAAGTGCTGAACAAAACCAGATAGAGACATGGCATTAAATCATTATTAATACCTGTAATTGTTTGCATACTTGTGAGAAAGAGCCATGTGAGTCACTGAGTGAGAGTGGTCCTCTCTTTGTCCCTTTTCTGTCGGAAAAGGCAGATCGAAAGATGTGGCACAGGTAAAAAAAATACATGCATGTGAAAACCAGCAAAATCACCAGTTCAGGAGAAAAGATGGATTGTATTATATAGTTTCCCAGCTTTAAATCCTGAATCGGTTGCATTCATTTTGTTGTCATTTGGCCGCTTTGGATTTTAGATGTACTATTTAACAGATTCAAACAAAAGAATTGGTGTTAATTCTGTCAGTCCAAGAGAGTCCAAGTGCATGGATCTTCACACCAACCTAAGGCTCATCACTGACCATTGCAGACGTCAATGTAGCACCTTGTTTTCTGAGATGGATCACGTCTGGAAACTAAAATCTTTCCTAGCTTGGCATCTCCAGATAAAACTCGGGTAAAAACAGAGTTTGCCCAATCAGGCTAGAGAAGCAGTCAAAGCGGCTAACAGTGAGTTCTGCTTGGCTTCTCCCGCAGAAGACAGACAGAGTTTCATTTGACGGGCTGTTGGCCAGGCTCCCCTCCCTTCTAATGGACGACAAACAGTGGGGGAACGTTCAAAATAACATCATTATAGCAACACTGTGTTCCGCTCGTACAGCGTGAGACCAAAGGCGATACAAAGAACCGGAAGAATTAGCTCTACGCATTATCATTTTGAAGGCAGTTTTACATCTTAAATGTTTTGTCCATGTCTCACTATAGAACAGACTCACTCGTATAAAAAACGCATACAAGTACACACAAATGGCTTAATGCGCTTCTGGCCATAAATTTGATAATATCATTGAATAAGAAAGAACACTAATGTAAGCTCACATGCTTCTATGGTCCATGCAGTTTCACATTCAATGCATGTTCTATTTTGGAAGTGAAATAAAAAATCCAAAATGTTCAAATTGTTTTTGTCTCAATCTGGTTTAAAAAAAATAAAAAAAATAAAAATAAAGAATGATTGCAAAAGTACACTGACCTCTTTCGTCAAACAGTTACAACTTTATCATTGTCACAGACACAGTTGCAGTTAAAGTCTTCCAGTATGTTCCTTCCAGAAAATACATTGAATATGATACACACAGAGTCCTTATTTAAGTCTCCGAGATAAAAGCTCCTTCATATCCCCTCGGTTTTAACTTTGAAGAGTCGATACATTTTGATCATTTTTTTATGTTACTTCATTGGGCTGATGACTAGTTGGCTAGGGTTGTCACAATACTACATTTCGTGGGAGCGGGTACAATATGGGTTAAGTTACTCCATTTTTTCTCACTGGAGTCGTTCCTTACCTGTGCAGATCAGTGATGACGCTGGACCCATGAACCTGTGGTGTCTATGTGTTTGTTATTAATGCATTTCCTGTGTTAATTGTCTGATCCTCTGATCTGTTGTTGGAAAATCAAACAAATCACTTTAAGTGTGCAGGATTCGCAAATGCTGGATTTTTTTTGAACATACTGTAGTGTAAGTAGGAAAGCATGTGTGTAAAACTGTGAATATTGTAGGTCTATCTCTGTTGATGTGATCGTTGATTGTGTATACTGTCACTGCATTTGTAAGCTGTCTCGTCTACTAAAACGAGTAAGTAATCTTTATTTTATATACCGCCTTTCACAGACCAGAGTCACAAAGCGGTTTACATTTATGGGCATTAGTCTCTCACTCCACACAGAGATGGGAGCGGGGCCAGTACAGGAGGGGCATGCCAGACCTATTGTACATGTTTTTAGTGGTACCCATGCAAACTCCTCTCAGAAAGGCCCTGTTCTGAGCGTGCTATCCACTCAGCCACCGTGCCTATAAAATCCATCAAAAAACAGAACAAAAAACACCCATAGTTTGTGTTTCTATCCTGCCCCGTTCCTCCAGTCCTCACAGTTTAGTCTTTGCTCTCGCAGTAATCTGAAATGCACCTCTTGACTTCTTGTGTAGCCCTCCTCTGTTCTCTTGATTATGTCTTAAGTACTTGAGAAATCCACTGGTCCCTTCTGGAGGAGCGCTCTGCGGGTGAGATTAGCTGGGGAGGCCATTTGAATCTAGCGGAGGTTGGACTCTGCAGCCTGCTCTAT